GGCTTCCCGCAGAGCAGGGAGCCCGATGCGGGGCTCGATCCCAGGACCCTGGGATCATGACCTGAGCCGAAGGCAGACGCTTAACAACTGAGCCACCCGGGCGCCCCGCTTCAACACATTCTAAAAGAACATTTTTACTCTCCCCTCCACAGTTCATGTATATGTTGTCATATTTTACATCTTTTTATTTTGAGTCCCCTTTTCTTTCTTTTTCTCTTTATGGCCTTTTGTTTTCTACTTAAAGAAGTTCCTTTAGCATTTCTTTTCAGGTAAGTTTAGTGGTGATGAACTCTTTTTTTTTTTTTTTTAATTCTTATTTGGGTTTAAATAACACACAATATTACATTAGTTTTAGGTGTACAACATAGTGATTCAGCATCTCTGTATGTTTGTTTTTATTTTTTAATTTTTTATTATGTTAATCACCATACATTACATCATTAGTTTTTGATGTAGTGTTCCATGATTCATTGTTTGTGCATAACACCCAGTGCTCCATGCAGGACGTGCCGTTTTGACTTGTGTTTGGAAAACACTTTCTCTCTCTAATTCTGAATGATGATCTGGTTGGATAGAATATTCTTAGTTACAGGTTTTGTTTTGTTTGTCTGTTTTCCTTTTAGCGCTTTGACTATATCATGCCACTCATTTTTGGCCTGCCAAGTTTCTGTTAAAGCTATCAGCTGATGTTTTTGTTTTGTTTTGTTTTTTATGGGGATTCCCTTGTGCATAACAGTTGCTTCTCTCTTGCTGCTTTTAAAATTCTCTTTATCGTTAATCTTTGCCACTTTCATTATTGTGTGTCATGGTGTGGACCTCCTTGGGTTCATCTTTTGTGCTTCCTGAACCTGGACATCTCTTCTTCCCCACGTTAGGAAAATTTTTACCTACTACTTCTTCAAATAAGTTTTCTGCCCTTAGTCTCTTTTCTCCTTCTGGGATCCCATATAATACATATGTTTGTTTACATGATGTTGTCCAAAACATCCCTTAATCTATTCTCAGTTTTTTTCCTTGTGTCTTTTTGCTATTCAGTTTGGTCACTTTCCGTTGCCCAGTCTTCCAGATCACTGATTCATTCTTTTGCATCCTCTAATTTTCTATTGATTCCCTTTAGAGTATGTTTCATATCAGTTATTGTATTATTCAACTCTGATTATTATTTTTTATGTTTTTTATTTCTTTGAAGTTCTGCTTGAGTTCTTCCACTCCTCTCTCTAGTCTGGTGAGCATCTTAATGACCATTACTTTCAATTCTTTATCAAGCATATTGCATATTTCCATATCACTTAGTTCATTTCCTGAGGTTTTGCCTTGTTTTTCCATTTGGAACATACTTTCTGTCTCCCCATTTTGCTTGACTTTGTTTTTGTTTGTATGAATTCAGCAGAACAGCTACTTTACCTAAACTAGAGGTATGTCTGATGACTTTGGCTGGCTGGAGCTGTGGCTGTTGTGGGCTGGAGGTCCAGGGAGTCTCCAGGCTGGGACTATCATAGCAGGATAGCTGAACTGAAGTGGATGCAAGCTTGGGTGTCCCAGGGCACTCTGCACAGGGGGCACCCTGGTGGGATGACTGGAGCCTATGTGGGCATGGGCTGTGTGTCCCAGGGTATTCCGCACCAAGGCATCCTGGCACAGTGGCTGGAGCTGAGGTGGAAGTGGGCCAGGTGTTCCCAAAGCACTCCATGTAGGGGTCGCCCTGCCAAGTTATGTGGAGCCTAAGTGGTGCAGACCTGGAGTGTTTTGGGGTGCTTTGTACCTATGCCACCTTGGTAAGATGACTGGAGCTACAGTGAGTGATGACCAGGCGTGTCCCAGTATGGGCTGCCCTGGGGCCTCCTTGATGAGACAGCTAGTGTTGGTTAGGGGCAAGAGGCTCACTGAGGCAGTAGGCCAGCTATGATGCCTGGATCCTATTATTGTCCACACAATCAAGATGGAAGGAGAACATAAACTGTGGCACTCGCCAGGCCCTCCAACTTGGAAAGAGTTCCAGCAGCCCTCCCACTGTTTGGCAGAGATCTAGGGCTGGATCCTTTATATTCTAGTTGCTCTTTTAAACTGTGGCTTTTTTCTGTGCCCCCAGGGCATCTGGGGCTGGTGTAGACTAGGAGCCCAGGAGTTGCTGAGGTGGCAGGCTGGCTAGGATGCCTGGACCCTGCTCCTGTCTGCAGGATGGAGGATGCTAGCAAGCCTCTCCAACCTGGAGAGTTCTAGCAGCTCTCTATTTGGCGGGGTTCTAAGGCTGTTTTCTTTTAATTCTAGTTGCTTTTTTAAACCATGTTTGTTTGTTTGTTTCTGTGCCCTAGATAGACAAACCTGCCCATGGTCCCTCAGTACTATCTTTTCCCACTGTAGGTCACAGCATTGGGCGTGGGTGTTTCTTTAGTTACTGTGTCACATCTGTCTTGCCATTCTCTACATGGTCTCTCTCTTGTTGTGCAGAAGTTGTTCAATCAGCTCACAGTTCTTTGGGAGGAATTGCTATATAACTAGGTGTAGATTTGGTGTGTCCACAGAGGTGAGTTCAGGGTCTTTTTATGCCACCATATTAGGCCAAACTCTCAATCTCCTTTTTGATCATCTCAAAATCAACTAATTTGACGTATTATTATATTGGCAAATTCCCTTCCTTTTTGCTGTGTACCCCATAACCTAATCATGGGAGTGGAATCCTATTATATTCAAAGGTCATGCCCAAACTCAAAGGGTTGAAATTATACAGGCATGGACACCAGGGTACAGGGGATCAGATATATTGCATTTAGTTAAAATGAATGATACAAGAGAATTAGCATTTTTTTAAGGAAATTGATGGCTTCAGTTTTAGATATGTTGAATTTGGAGATAATTGGGCTTTCAATTAATTAGAGTGGATCAGTAGGTCTTAGAGAAGTCAGTAGTAAGATTAGAATTGGAAATACGTATTTAGTAATGATCAGTGGAGGTGATAGTTAAATCATGAGATCATCCAGAGAAAGACTGTAGCAAGAAGTGGGCTGGTACAGGAGTAAGTCCAGGTAACTAGAACATCTACCTGTGTATTTCCACTCATGTCTCTTGATTCCAGTCTAATCTCATCATGCAACTTTTCACTCTTCCTGTAGTTGGTAAATAATATCCTGCTCTTCCTAATTTGTGGTCCACTCTCTGTCCTCCTCCCACTTCCAAGCCACACTACCTGGAAGTGAAAATCAGGAGCTCTCTTAGTGAAAGCCTTGCAGATCACAGATACTAAAAAAGATGTACTCTCTTATGCACCCTGATCCCAGATGGTGAGTTGTGGGAATTATAGAACACAAGGCTCAGTGAAGGAAGATGGTGCCATCATTAGCCCTGAAACACTTTATTTCTTCCTAACAGAAAACACGACTAACTGCACTTTTCTTTGCTCTTCCCTCCCAGAATTGGCTATAAAGTGTTAGATGGCACAAATTTGGAATGCAGATGTGACTATATTACCTATCTCTTAAAACCTTTCTCTGTTTATTTGAATAGAAAATCACTGAAGCCATTACAGTGATATTATTGAACAATCTGAGCTGTGACTGTTTACTTTCTGTAAACAAGTAAATTTGATCAGTTCATTTTGACTAGATTTTCCTCCCTTAAATCTTTTTCTTTCAGGTTATATTCAAGAAGAATGTGTCATCCCATGCCCATTTGATTGCAAGTTAAGTGACTGGTCTAGTTGGGGGTCTTGCAGCTCATCTTGTGGAATTGGAGTGCGAATTCGGTCCAAATGGCTAAAAGAAAAACCTTACAATGGAGGTCGCCCATGTCCCAGACTGGATCTCAAGAATCAGGTAAAGTACATGAAGCAACAACAACAACAGAAAGCTAAAAAATTACTCATTTGATTATTTCTTGTGGAAATTGAAGTCATTGTCTTTTCACAAGTAGCTCATAAAAAGTTATCACAAATTCAAAAGAGGACATAAAGTAATATAACAGAAATAGAAGTCTTACCCACTCCTAGGTAATGCAGAGACCAACTTGGTGTTGCTAGCAGTAATAATGTTTATGAGGAATAATCCAACTGATTTTATATGGTCTTGAAGTATAACTTGATTATGCATATTATAAAAGTGATTTGTTTGTATACGTATTTAAATATAAGTACTAAAAAATACATGAATACTAATGTTGGGAGAATGTCAAGTACTTTATGGCAATAAGTATAGTTAGTGGTTTCATCCATGTACTCCAGAAATGGGGTACTCTTTTCCTTCACCAAACTCTTCATCTATTTTTTTTCTTCTCAACATCACCAAAGTTTCCAGTTTTTTCATGTCTTTTCTGAGCTATTTCTCTGTTTTCCCAAAGTCAAAGCTATTTGCATAAATGGAACCCTGAAGGATACCCTTCCATAGAGATGTCTAATAAAACAACCATCCTAGGCAAAATTGATTAGAGTATGTTAGTTGGCTTTACCCATATAACAGTCTAAGACTTAGTTAAGAATCTTAATAAAGACCTCAAATTTCTCCCATGATTGCATAGTGGTTATCAGATTAGGACTGATATGTATTTTTTTAATCAATTGAATAGGTAGAGCACACATGATCGTTGAAAATTCCTTATTCTTAAAGTTGTGAAGGGTGTCTTATATGTGTATATAGTTCCTTTGTGATCCTGCAGCTATTTTAACAGAATAGCTGCACAGGCTTCTATTACTGATTCTATTAATTTTCCTAAATTTTGCTAAAGGACCCATAACTCACTGAAAAGTGAAAAATTACCATTCTACCAAAAAATAGTTATGTTCTAAGATGGCAGAGTATTTTACTTTTGTTTTTTAAGGTTATGTGGTAAAATAGTGACCATAGTTTCTTCTCTCAAAGCTAATGCAAACCTGTGGGGAAAGGCAAGGCAGAAGATCATAAAATCAACATAGAGGTTGCAAAAACAAAGAAACCCCCAAAATTCCACAAGTGCGATAGTTTGGTGAAGGGAAGATTAGGATATGATTAATAAAAACAGGAGGGAGACAATCAGAGCAGAGATGGTCTAAGGAAATAAACCTTACCTTAGTACAATGAAAGGTATAAGACAGGTTTATCATTACAAGGAAAATTTTCAAGTGAATTCTATGTATGAGGACTATGTGACCCTCCCTAGGGGATTTTCCAGGCATTTAAAATGAAAAATAACTACTAAGCATTTATAAACAATGCATGGTAATTCTTATTCTTTCTCAAAACCTTCAGTGAAAGTTAAACCTTAATAGCACTTATGTTAAACACCAATTTTTAATATGCTAATTTTATGAACTAGGAAATTACCAAGGGATTAAAGGGACTTCATTGGAGTGCAGACTTGAAGATTCTGTTTTCAGTATGCAAAGGCAAATGTGTAGAAGTGTGTCCATCAATTTTGAGAGTATGAATAAGATAAAGATACTTGTCAACCTGTTGTGACTTAAAAGAAACTTTTTCAAAATGCCTGATTGACGTATAAAACTGGTAACCTTAAGAAGTAGTACAAGCTGAAAAAAATTGAACCCAACTTTAAGAATAACTTAGATAAATTCCATAAGTGAAAATTATGTGAGGATGGGGCTGTCTACAAGAGATACTTCTTACGCTTGAGTTCACGAAGAGACTTTTAGCATTCCAGAGACATTTGTTTGTTAAGCTCCGAAACGAATCCTGGGAATTAATGATGAGAAATCAAATTTGGTGTGGTGTATATTCTGCTATAAAGAGGTTTCAGATGTCTAGCATGTGTGTGGCTTAATTCAACTTGAATTGAAAAACTTCACCCTAATCCATACTTTGTATTTTAACATAAGTTAATTCATAGGTGCATTAAGTAATAAGGCTTCCCTCTCACTTCTAAGTCTGTGAATGGCAAGGGAGAATACTGTTGTAAAAAAAAAAAAACAAAAACCTAAATTTAGAAGAAATTCTCCTTAGAGAAATTACTTTTCTGAAGCAAGCACACTTTTACCTGGAAGTAGATTTGTGGAAAGCAATCTTTGCTGACTTCATTATATATTTGCTCTTAAATATAAGAGCATACCCTGTGTGTGTGTGTGTGTATGTATGTGTGCACATTACATAATATATAGAAATCTATTTAAAGTTATCCATATTTTCTTAACTCATCTGAAAATAGATTGGGTTGACAGGAAGTTTCATTACTGAGGAAATATTCCCCAGCTTCCATTATTTATGGCAAGTCTTTAGAAAAGATGGTTTTTTGTTTCTCTAAGCTGGAAATATGATCTAGTTAGAGGTACACCCACTGAGGCTTTTTTGTTAAGTTCAGTTTTACTACTGGCCTTAGGTTATTTGTCTCCTTTCCAATTAGTTCTCAGGTTTAGATTTATTTTCCTATTTTTAGGACCAGGTTAATACTCTCTGTTCTATTCACATAAGTAAGAGCTTAGAAAAATATATAACCAAATTTTAGCAGTAAGAGAGGCACATATCTTTAGTATCTGTGCAAGAGGAAAATTCTGTATATGTCAGATTGAGCCAAATGTACTGTTCATAAATATATATGTAAACATATATATAACTTGTATATATGTATATATAATACATATGCCTATGTAAATGTCCGCGTACCTACATATGCTTACTCATTCTTCTCCTTCATTTCTCTGTAGAACGGGAGGTCTTGTGAAGGCAAGGTCTTTTTACTTTTGTAACTCATTCAGCCCCTCATGCACTACCTTGTGTATTGTCAAATTATACTTACTAGATGCTTTATTTTAAAAGAAGCCTTCTCTCTGAATGAGTGGGTGGCTAGTTCTGTAGAAAAAATGTTAGAACCCTGGTCTCCTGTGCTATGATGTGTCATTTAAATTCTCAAAAACACTAGCCCTTCTAGAAGAAAGAAATAGGAACCTCCAAACTATTATTGCCCAAAGAGTCTTTCAAGATTCTTCTGAAAACTCCTGAATGTTGGATCCCCATCGCAATCTCAGTGATTTAAAAAAAAAAAAAAAAGAAAGAAAGGTTGGCATTATGTACACAAGCCCATAAACTGTTCTGAACCTGTTAGTGGAATCAATTTTTATAATCTCTCATAAAACGCCTCCCTTTTAAACCCAAACCTATCAATGTGATAGCTTTTTCTCTAGAAGTGCCAGAGTGACAGCAATACTTGAATAGCTTTCTGCTAAGTCTATTTGTGATGCTAAATAGTTCCAGCATGCAGTTTCCCCAAAACTCTTATCAAGGCAGAAAACTTCTAAATAGTTGATTGGATTATCAGGTCAGTTGGCTGATGCCCTTGACTCTCCTGTGCATAACAAAATACATAATATATTTTAATTTTTTTACAGTCTATAATATGTTGAGTAGGTTATACTTCATATTTTTGCTATTTTTTCTTTTGAAATTCTCCTTAATAAAGGCTTAAATATAGGGACATGAAAGTTCTGTTGGACTTATAATTCCCCTTATGAGTCATTCACATGATTAAAGGCAAGAGTTCCAGGAAATTGTATTTTGTTTATAGGTTGCAAATCTGTGTGTTCACAGTGTGTATGGGGGAAAAAAATGATACATTGAGATTCATTACCTATACTTTTTAAAAATGTATGCTGCCTACTTAAATATATTTTTGAGTTTTGATTATGTTTGCCACTGAATGAGAGGATATAAATTAAAAATGTGTGTTTTTTAGAAACAATTGCTATTTTAAAGGTATGTCTTCTCCCCAAAGAGAAGTGGTCTAAATTTGGAAATGAGTATAATGCATTTTATTTTTCATAGTAAGGTAATAAGGTTTTAAAGAATACTTTCTTTCCAAAGATACATAGAAATATTTTAGCATGAATATTTCGTTCTTAGAAGAGGCTTGTGGATGAAAACATGTTTCTATAGAGAAAGAGCTTATGCTCATTTTAATACTACTTCATTAATTAATAGAATGTTATGATGTGGAAACTGTCAGTCTATCTGAATGTCTGTTTACCTAGAAAAATATGGCTACACTTAAGCTTTAATTTGACTTAACCAGTTTTGGCTTCTTGCTTCTTTTTGACCAGCCCAAGTCCCACTCATTCTAGGCTAGTCCAAATCATTCCTGACAGTGTCCTGCTCACTTTGGACTTAGTACTTTGGCAGGAGACCCAGACTGTAATGGAGTAACAAGTCCTGTTCTTGAGCATTAAAATGGAAGGCAGCCCAAGTTTATCCATGATTAAGTACATTGAGGTGTACCATTCTTGTGTGGGGAGTGGTGTTGGTGTTGCATCTTTGAAAAAACTTTAAGTATGAGATATCATGTGCCATAGAATTAAGGGAAGCACCAGGATTCATTCCTCAGGGTTATTTGGGAAGTTTTAATAGGGCAGATACTCCTAGAACATTTCACCTCTCCCTAACGTAGTAGTAGTTATTCCCAAACCCAGGCACACTGTACCCCATCTCAGGCAGCTTGAAATGTCTCCTAAGGGCTAGTGTTCTTCCATTTTTTTTTTTCCTTTATGCCTGTCTGCCAACCCAAACTGCTCTCAAGTTGGACATCTCACTAATTGAGCTGAGTAGACCTCAAAGGAGATGCAATTTTTCTTTTCTGTTCTTGCCCTGTCACCATCTCCAAGAAAAATTATTTTTCTTAAGAGATTTCTCTCCCCCCACATTTGTGTCTACACATAAACTATTCTTGATCATTCCAAAGTAATACCCCTCAGGCTTGTTAATATCTTTTGAAACTTTGCTCATTTTTCTTGAGAGCTGCCAGAATCACTCATGAAAGCAATTTTCTTATACCTGTTGTCCACTCTGTATTGAATTTTACTGTGTTTTGATACTGGGTATGGCTACTCTGCAAATAGTCAAAATTA